GGGAACAGTGTTCTTCTTGGAGGCCGGATCTTGGCCACTCCCTTCATGAACTGGAGGATGAGAGCATGTGAAGCCCACCTAGTGCCCGTGAGAGATGCCAGAGCAGATAGCTGTACTCTCAAGGTATTGTAACTTAATCCTAAGTCCAAACCCCATTGAAGGAACTCTAAGATCCTGCCTACTGAGGCCTCGAGGGGATTAAATCGCATTTCTGAAGCGAATTCCTGGAATCTGGCCCATACTCGGGAATACACCGCATTAGTCGCTTGCTTCCTAGCTTTCAACAGCGTCTGGATTACTGATTCCGAGATGTCCAAACTTTCTAAACGGCCCCGTTCAGTAGCCAGGCCATGAGCCGCAAACGACCCAGGTTCGGATGCCTGAACCCTGCCTGTTCCAAAAGATCCTGTTTCAGGGGAGACTCCATCGGGTCCGTCACCTTCAACTGCCACAACAGTGGAAACCATGGCCTCCTCGGCCAGTAGGGCAGGATCGCAATTGCCCGCACCTTCTCCCTGCGGATCTTCAGAAGAATATTCAGAATCATACAGAAAGGAGGGAACACATACACTAGACTGTAATCCCACTGCTGTCTGAGGGTATCCTGTGCCAGAGCCGCTGGGTCGTAGTACCGCGAGAACAACCTTGGGAGTCTCGCATTCAAGGCTGTTGCCATCAGATCGATCTCTGGAACTCCCCATAGATGAAATACTTGAATCAGATACCTCTTTATCGACCATTCGTTGTGGTCCGCAGAGTCGCGACTTAGGCTGTCTGCCTCGAGATTGTCTGTCCCTGGAAGATAGCATGCCGTCAGATCGCGAAGATTCAACTCTGCCCATCTGAACCGCTATCTGAAGGAGCGGAAGACTCCTTGTCCCTCCTTGCTTCAGGATGTTAGCTACTGCCGACTTGTTGTCCGAAAAGACTTTTACTGCTGACCCTCGGATTAGAGGACGCAACACCTTCAATGCTTCCCGAACTGCTTCCAGTTCCAACAGGTTCGAACTCTCTGGAACCTGACCTAGCCAACGAGCTTGCACTCGGTGTCCCATACACACTGCCCCCCAGCCTTTTGCGCTGGCATCGGTGGTTACGTGTATGTACTGGACTGTCTCTAGGGACTTGCCCAGAGCTAATTCGGTTCCGCCGTCCACCACTCCAGTGATTGGCGAACAAATTCCGGAAGATGAATCCGTTGAATAAGGCACGAGCGATCCCACTGTTGCAGAAAATTGAATTGGAACAGTCGCCTGTGCCACCTTGCCCAAGGTACCACCGGGATTGTGGAAGAGAGGAGACCCAGAAAGCTCATACATTGACGGGCCGAAGGACATGGTGTCCGCATCATTGCTGAAGCCCTGTTCTGGACAGTTCTCACCTTCTTCAGGGGCAAGAAGACCCTGGCCTGGTCTGTGTCGAACACGACTCCCAGATACTCCAATCGTCTGTACGGCCTCAAAGAGCTCTTCTGCTCGTTCACTAGCCATCCAAAGGACCTCAGAACTTGATCCCGATGAAGAACTGCTTGAGCCCTGGAATTGGCTAAGACCAAAAGATCGTCCAGGTAGTGATACACTTGAATTGCCCAAGTGCGTAAAATGGCCACTTGGGCCGACAGCAGTTTTGAGAAGGTCCTTGGAGCTGTGCAGAGCCGAATGGAAGGCATCGAAACTGGTAATGGCGGTCGTTCATCGCAAAGCGGAGAAACCGCTGATGTCCTAGAAATATCGGGACATGCCAGGTCTATGGATACCAGCCAGTGCTCTTTGGTGACAAGAGATATGATAGTCTCCAACGATTCCATCCTGAAGGGAAGTGCCCTTACGAAAGAATTAAGAAACTTGAGATCTAGAATCGGCCTGAACTTTCCAGACGCCTTTTTGACTAGAAAAATCGGGGAGTAAACTCCCAACCCCCTTTCCTCCCTTCGAACTGGAATGATTGCTCGAGACGTCTGCAATTCTTTGATATAATCGAGCAAGCAGCGAAACCTTTCTCTGGAGGAAGGAATCTGCGTCTTCACAAACCGCGTCACCGGGGGGCCTCCTGGTGAACTCGATTTGATAACCACGATGAACTATATCCAGAATCCAGGCATCGGCAATGTTTTCCGCCCAAACAGTGCCAATCTGGCATCGACCAGACCCGGCTGGACGGGCACACCTTCAGAATTGCTTGTCCGCTGGCTTCTGATTACCGGCGGGTCTGGCCTTTGTTTTAACAAAGGAAGGCTGGGCCGATTTCCATGGTGCCCATAAAAACTCTCTGCCTGGCCGATAGGACCTTGCTTCCCTGTAGCGATCCCTTGAAAAACGCCCAGAGCCTGGCCGAAAGGGCTGTCTCTGTTTTCTCCGATCTTGGGGCATGAGCCCCGATTTATCCCCAGAAACTCGTTTTATAGCTTCCTCTAGGGTTTTCCCAAACAGTAGCCCACCAGAAAAAGGAAGAGCACACAAGCTCTGCTTAGATGCCGAGTCCGCCGACCATTGACGTAGCCATAGGGCTCTTCTTGAAGTCACGGAATGCGCCATCAGTCTAGCATCCAGCCGTACTTGATCCACTGCTGCCTCTGCAACAAAATCAGCCGCCAACCTGAGGTTATCCAGGGCTGTCGTTGCCTCCGACAGCTCATTATCTTCCCATACCTTCTCAATCTGGGCCAGCCACGAAGGCATCGCTCTGGATACGGATGTTAAGGCTACTGCCGACCTGTGCTTTAAATCGGCCTCCAACCTGCGATCCATTGGACAGAATCGTCCAACGGCAGCGTGATATGAGGCGCCAACCTCTGTAGCGCTGCATCCACTCCCGGAGGACTTTCCCAGGGGGAAGCATCTTGAGCTCGCAAAGGATACAATTTAGCCATCCTATTATGCGTATTCAATTTTTTATCCGGTCTGGACCATTCCTCCTCTATGAGTTCCCTAAATTCGAAAGAGGAAAACAAGGCAGTTCCCGTTTAAGCTCCGGGAAATACTTCCTAATCTTCTGCGGAGCTGGACTTGCCTCCTCCTCCCAGCCAAGTGCTTCCTTCACTGCGTTCACAAACGCTGCTACCCGGGCAAAATCAAAGGAGTAGGACACCTCCTCCGGACCCCCAAAAGAATACTCGGATACCGGGCTATAAGGGTCCTGAGCCGAAGGTAGCTCTCCTTCTTCCTCCGAACTACTCACAGACCTCTTCCTATGGCCCGAAGTCCTCAAGCCCTGTGAAACCGCATGCTCGATAAAGTGTTGCACCTCCCGGGCTTCTGACTTCTTATCCTTTGCTGCCTCTTTAAGGCATGCTCGGCAGAGACGTTTGTTGGGCAGAGCTTTCTCCCCACATGACCAACATTCTCCAGCCTGCGTCTCTGAAGGCCCCGGTAACGGGGAGTCCTCCCTGAAATCGCACCTTTTAGGCGCTTTACTTGCGTGATGATGCTTCTTGTGCTTATGGCCTTTGGCCGAGCGCTTGCCCGTTTTGGGCGAATAATCCACAGACTCTGACCGTCTATCTGGAGAACAGGGAGACTTCCTTAGCGGGCTCTTTCCCCTGAAAATATGAAGCAATCAAATTAGACAGGCTCTCTTTTTTTTTTCAGAGGCAAACCAAACAACAGTACTTCACCTCCTACTTTTCTTCAGTGCTTTGGATGGCGGACCCATGGTGAACTACCAGCCTATAGAGAGTCCAGGAGTAGTACTACAAGAATATAAGATCACTATAAGTCCACATTAACCCAGCCATACAGCAAGAGCACAAGAAGAAAAAGCTAACCTGCAGAGACAGAATGACTCGACCACCAGCAGCTCCCTTGCCAGTGTACTGAGCAGCAGACCGCAGATCGGAAGAGGAGAAAGCACCTCCGGCACGCTGGCTAAATCACTCCCTGTTGCCCTGACAACAGGACACCAATGAACATTTATTTAAATGTTAAATTTTCTATGTATTCTCTTATTGTATTATTTTATATTTCACGTTCAGCTAAATGTTGTGGTAATAATGCTGAGATCACACAGCAGTATGATTGACTGATCACAGGTGTATTTATTATTAATTTATTCTAATTCATTCATATTTAAATAATTTTTTTGGGTTACATTTGTTTCGCATTTAGGTGCACATTTCAATAGGGGAGATAGCGCGGTCTATTGGTTTATCATCCCTTGACCACAGTACTATAGATTTGTCGGTCATTCACTGTAGCTGTCATTTACTATTCACTTACCTGCTTAATAATAGAAAGGGTTAACATCCATAAGCGGATGCATAAAATATTAAATTTTGCATAAAATATTTTTTTTTTTGAATACATCACAAAGGGGCAGGGAATACCCTGCCCACAACTGATTGGGCCAGGAAGGGGGTGTTCTATCAAAGTTTGTGAGTAGGTTGGAATGTGTGACCGGTCACGTGGTCACACATTGTAACGTAGTCACAAACTTTGATGGAACAGGGGGGGTGTCAGTGACTGATTTGGATGAACTTTGGAGATCCGCGTTCACACAACACTTTACAAAAGTAGTCCTAGGGACTTAATGGTCATAGAACTGTAACAGGGTTATAGGGTGAGAGATGTTAAAATAGCAAATGTGACATTTTATGAGTTTTCTGACTTCAGGCCCAAAGTGACGCATTGTTTCAGCATGAAGACAGGTTCCCTTTAGTAAATCTGCCCCATTGTCTCTAATGTATGTGAAAAATGTCTGGCTCCCTTTTAGCAGAACGCAGCGCCCGCTTCTCAATACCCGAAGTGTCCTTTGATTTCCTTTATGTCAATTCATAGTGAGAAAACCAGATAGTCCACCTTCCGCGCTCGCTCAGTCCCACTCTCCCTTCTGTGCCCCCCTCACCCAGGTCACAGAGTGAATGGAGTCAATGGACACACCCAAAACACCGCAACTACTTGTGATTGGTGGCCCGGACTGAGTGGGCGTGTCCGTACGCTGCCAGAGATACGCTGTGTTTGGTTTCCTGGGTGTGTGGTTGTGTACACATGTACCGGCTCCCCGGGCTCCGGCCACTGGCGGTGTGTGTGCGGAGCGTCACAAGGATGCTGGATGAGTGATGGCAGCTGACAAGTTCTCCCGACCTACAGGGTCCTCACTGCTGCTCCCGGTCAGCGATCTCCTGCACATGCCCCTGGAACAGGTGAGTGCTACTGATGGTGCATAGCACAGACAGCTTCCTCATTCTGGACAAAGAACGCGTTATATGAAGTATGATACAACGTTAGATTTATCATCGGTGTTCAGATCTGTACTCCTCTACTGCTCTATGATTGTTGTTCAGATCTGTACTCCTCTTCTGATCTATTATCGGTCTACAGATCAGTATTCTACCAACCGATCTATGATCAGTCAACAGATCTGTACTCCACCAACCGATCTATGATCAGTTTACAGATCTGTACTCCACCAACCGATCTATGATCAGTTTACAGATCTGTACTCTACCAACCGATTTATGATCAGTCTACAGATCTGTATTCTACAATCCGATCTATGATCAGTCTACAGATCTGTACTCCTCTACGGATCTATGATCAGTCTACAGATCTGTATTCTACAAACCGATCTATGATCAGTCTACAGATCTGTACTCCTCTACGGATCTATGATCAGTCTACAGATCTGTACTCCTCTACTGATCTACGATCAGTCTACAGATCTGTACTACTATTCAGATCTATGATCAGTCTACAGATCTATGATCAGTCTACAGATCTATGATCAGTCTACAGATCTGTACTCCTTCACCAATCTCTCCTCAGTCTGCTGATCTGTACTCCTTCACCAATCTCTGCTCAGTCTGCTGATCTGTACTCCTTCACCAATCTCTGCTCAGTCTGCTGATCTGTACTCCTTCACCAATCTCTGCTCAGTCTGCTGATCTGTACTCCTTCACCAATCTCTGCTCAGTCTGCTGATCTGTACTCCTTCACTAATCTCTGCTCAGTCTGCTGATCTGTACTCCTTCACCAATCTCTGCTCAGTCTGCTGATATGTACTCCTTCACCAATTTCTGCTCAGTCTGCTCAACTGTACCCCACCAATTTCTGCTCTGTCTACTGATCTGTACTCCTTGACAGATCTCTGCTTAGTCTACGGACCTCTACTCCTCTACTAATCTCTGCTCAGTCTTCTGAGTTATATGGTCTAGCAATCTATACTTGTCTACCAAGCTATACAGTCTACCGATCTATGCTCAGCCTACTGATCTGTACTCCTTCACCAATTTCTGCTCAGTCTATTGATCTGTACTCCTTCACCAGTCAATGGTCAGTCTACCAATCTCAGCTCAATCTTCTGATCTGTACTAGTCTACCAAGCTATACAGTATACTGATTTCTGCTTGTGATAACGCAAAGCGCATCAACACTGTGTGTTAACATGCCCTGCATTGGGCAGCCCATTGATTGGCACCTCAACGGCCTAGAAAACAGATTTGAACAGATTACAGCGTCAGCAAGGTGCACTGGGATGCATTGTGCCATTCCAAAAAAGCGAGCGATGCCATGCGTTGCGGTGATTTACACAGGAGCATGCGCATTCCCGCAGTGCAATAGTGTCAACAGGGCACATTAAAAAAGTTTGCACTCTGTAAACATATAGAATACAAAAGTGCATCAAAGTGCAAAAAAAATGCATCTAAACCTTCTACAATAATCTGAAGAGCTGGCCCCAATTCTCTCAGTCCCACTTCCTGTTGAGTACAAGATCACAAGGGGCAGAGCAGTCTCCAGCAGCTTTCCATCTATTAGCTAGGAGAAGTAAGACGGGAGGAGAGGGGAGCAGAGAGCAGGTTATATCTAGTGTTGCTGTGTCTGTGTATTTGTAGGCACACACAGCTTACTAGCACACACAAGGGTGGCTCCATAGGACCCTGCAAGGGAAAGGAGCCACCTCAAAACAGGATCTCAGGGCACCAGCTGATTTGCAGGGAACTTTTACATATCAAAAAGTAGCATCCATTGTAAAGGATTTTAAAATAAATTAAAAACCTTTTGACTTTAATATCACTCTAAATATCTCTGTAAATCTTTCTAAATTGTTCAGCAATTGGTTCTGTGATTGTTCCCTCACAAATTCAGCGTGCATGGTGTGCATTATAGCGTTCATAAACAACCCGAATATTAACTGTAGCTGATTGGCTGCAATCACCGTTCATCGAACCTTTATCCGCCTGACTCCTTTGATTTTTCAGTTGAAGTTTGTCGAGCCTGGTGGTGTCAGCAGGGCCAGCCATGGGCCGATTCACAGCCATTGGCTATAATTTGAAGCCTTTACTAGATGTAGTCCTTTTCATGTACCACTGTACACATATTTGAATTCACTTCCCTATAAGGAGCTGGCGGCATGTCAACCACTGATTCACTTGCATGCTATCTCCAGGTGTTGCTGAGCTGTGGTTTCCATGAGACTAAAGCTGCCCGTACACCTGCCAATTTCTTTCGTTCAACCCGCGAGCTGAACGGAAGAAAGTGACGCGATTCCTCCATCAACACAAACAGCGTGTTGATCGAGGAATCGCCGCTGTTTGCATTGTATTCCGACAGGTGCCGCCACCACCTTTCGGAATACACGATTAGAACGGGCAGCTCACAGGCTGTCGGCTCTGATCTTACGAAGATTTCCCAGCCGGCTCCTTTGATCAGCTGATCGAGGAATGCCGGCTGAAAGGGAGTCAACAGCCCCATACACTGGCCGAATTTCGTCCGGTGCATTAAAAAACGTCCGAAATTTGGCCAGTGTATGGCCACCTCTACAGTGTGCTAGCCACAGGCCAGCAGACATTTATGGTGAATGGGCTTCTATTTCACTTAGTATGAAGTTCAGATAATGTTTCTTTACACAATGAATACTATTGAATGTCAGGGCAGAGTAAAACTTGCCTTGGCTGTTTGGCTGGCCCTCCAGGTCCATGACAATTTTGGTGGCCTCAGACTTTGGAATGGTTGATCCTTTCCAGAGTTTTATAAGATTCCTTTCAGTAATGCTACAGATCTTGATTGTTAAAGATGTCCATCAATGTGTGAATGAACCAACTGTTGTCTGGTATCTGTGATCCGAGCATTTCATGAACAGGAACGTTCTTGGCTGCAATTCCTGCTCACGTCAATGGAAAGGGGAAGAAGGCACAAGCCGGCACTGTTAGCACCCATTATTATAGGAAGGATCAGGATACACAGTGTATAGCTGTGGGAATGACGGTCACAGTGCATTACTGCCACTGTTCACTTAGCAAGAGAATTCCCTTTCTACGTGTGTAGCCTATTTGGCTTTAGTAATTCAGCCCCATTGTGAGGCCTTTGGATCATAGGTGCATGTCCATACTGCGGCCAGCTTTAGTAACTCTTCATTCCTTACCTGCTCATCTTATGACTATTTTCAGAATCATGGGCGACATCAAGTAAAATGGTCTTTAGTGAGTATATGTTATGTACCTTGCAAGAGTGTCCCAATTATTTGCTAAGAAATTGGCTTGCATGTGGTATTTTCATGATCTGTGGCACTAATCAAAATTTACTGAATCTCAATATAGAAACATTTTACAACAAACCTTTTATCTATATACTCTCCTCCAAGTTATAGCGGCAAACTCATAGAATTCCCAGTAGCACACTTAACTGCTAACATGTGCTTTTAAGTTCCTTATCAGTCATGTAATGCCTTGGGGAAGCTTAAACAAGAACTCCGCCCAAAAGCTATTAGTAGGGATGCACCGATACCGAGTATTTGGGCGAGTACTCGTACTCACTTAAATGGTCCTGATACCGGAACTTCAGGAATCAGGAAGCCAGGTGGCGAGTCATTACACTCGCCTCTAGGGCTGCAACAACTAATCGACATAATCGATTATAATCGATTATGCCGATTAGTGGTTGCAGCCCTAGAGGACTACAAAACCCAGCAATAGTACATTATAGCTCGCGGTATTCTGCATTGCGCTGTATAATGTACTATTGCTGGGTTTTGTAGTCCTCTAGGGCTGCAACCACTAATCGGCATAATCGATTATAATCGATTATGCCGATTAGTGGTTGCAGCCCTAGAGGACTACAAAACCCAGCAATAGTACATTATAGCTCGCGGTATTCTGCATTGCGCTGTATAATGTACTATTGCTGGGTTTTGTAGTCCTCTAGGGCTGCAACCACTAATCGGCATAATCGATTATAATCGATTATGCCGATTAGTGGTTGCAGCCCTAGAGGACTACAAAACCCAGCAATAGTACATTATAGCTCGCGGTATTCTGCATTGCGCTGTATAATGTACTATTGCTGGGTTTTGTAGTCCTCTAGGGCTGCAACCACTAATCGGCATAATCGATTATAATCGATTATGCCGATTAGTGGTTGCAGCCCTAGAGGACTACAAAACCCAGCAATAGTACATTATAGCTCGCGGTATTCTGCATTGCGCTGTATAATGTACTATTGCTGGGTTTTGTAGTCCTCTAGGGCTGCAACCACTAATCGGCATAATCGATTATAATCGATTATGCCGATTAGTGGTTGCAGCCCTAGAGGACTACAAAACCCAGCAATAGTACATTATAGCTCGCGGTATTCTGCATTGCGCTGTATAATGTACTATTGCTGGGTTTTGTAGTCCTCTAGGGCTGCAACCACTAATCGGCATAATCGATTATAATCGATTATTGCAAAAGTTGTCAACTTTTTCAATAATCGATTATAATCGATTATGCCGATTAGTGGTTGCAGCCCTAGAGGACTACAAAACCCAGCAATAGTACATTATAGCTCGCGGTATTCTGCATTGCGCTGTATAATGTACTATTGCTGGGTTTTGTAGTCCTCTAGGGCTGCAACCACTAATCGGCATAATCGATTATAATCGATTATTGAAAAAGTTGTCAACTTTTTCAATCATCGATTAATCGGCTTCTGATTGGTTGGCCCTGTTCACGGCTCCACACACGCTGCGCGCCACACTTCTTCCCCACCTCACGCTCGCCGCAGCCAGGCCAGCCCACCCGAATCCACGCTCCACACGCCGCACCTCCTCGCGCTCACCGCCCGCCCACATCCTCGCCGGGCAGTGAGTCATTACAAGCCGCCCTGCTTCCTTGATGGGACTTCCAGTATCGGCGAGTACTGGAAATTTTTTTTTACTCCATACCGA